AAAACCACTGGACCAATTGACACCAAATTTGGACACAATACACCTAACAACCCAATGTATGTCCTTCACTCAACAAATTTAGATTTCGTCATTTGGGAGTTGTAGTTGCTGGGATTTATAGTTCACCTACAATCAAAGAGCATTCTGAACTCCACCAATGATGGAATTGAACCAAACGTGGCATACTGGACTCCCATGACCAACAGAAAACACTAGAAGGGTTTGGTAGGCATTGAGTTTGAGTTTGGGAGCTGTAGTTCACCTACATCCAGAGAGCACTGTGGACTCAAACAATGATGAATCTGGACCAAACCTGGCACAAATACTCCATATTCCCAAATGTGAACATACATGGAGTTTGGGGGGAATAGACCTTGACATTTGGGAGTTGTAGTTCCTGGGATTTATAGTTTACCAACAATCAAAGAGCATTCTTAACACCACGAATGACATTCCCACACAAAGCCCTCCTGACAAAGAGCCATCCAGTCATAGATAGATGTATATGATTCACACACACACACAGATATAGTATCATAGATTTGAAAGGAACCCCTAAAGAAGGACAATTCTATGTTGCCTGTTCCAGAGCAGGCAAACCAGACACTCTCCACATCAACACTGCCAAAGGAACAACAAGAAATGCCGTTTACCCATAAGCAGAAAGACTATATATATTAGAAACCAACACTTTCTCATTACTTTATTTTTCAGACCACCAGGCTGGGCCACAGCAACGCGTGGCAGGGGACGGCTAGTATATATATATATATAATGTAAAAATTAGTCAAGCCAAAAGGGGCCCCGAGTGCGAAAGTTTAAGGAACCCTGGAATACAGAACCAATCTTGTTCGTAACCAGGGGTTGCCTGTATGTGGAAAGTGCTTTAGTAAAAGCAGTATATTGACTCAACACCAAAGTATCCATACTGGAGAGCAATGAGAATAACTTTATTGTCATTGTACATTGCCCAACAAATTAAATGCTTTCTGCAGCACACATCAGAGAAACAACACACTCATTCCTCCACACTCCAACCACCAATGCCACATCAATGCGAAACCAAGGGGTTCAACATAGTTAAACTCAGGGGAGAATGCTTCTGAAACACGGCCAGACAGCCTGGAAAACTCACAGTAACCCAGTGATTCTGGCCATGAAAGCCTTCGACAACACTTCAAATTATTATTATTATACTAGCTTTACCCGCTATGCATTGCTGTGGCCAACCTTCCCTCCCTCTTTCTCTTCTTTCTTTCTCTCCTTCCTTCATCCCCTCTTTCCTTCCTTCCTTCCTTCCTCCCTCCCTTCCTTCCTTCCCTTTCTTTCTTTCTCTCCTTCCTTCCTTCCTTCCTTCTCTTCCTCTTCCCTTCCTTCCCCCCTTTTCTTTCCCTTCCTCTTCCTCCCCTTTCTTCCTTCTCTACCTATTCTTGGACTGCAACTCCCAGCAGTCCTCCTGATTAATCAATCTACCTACCTACCTCTATCGAATCTATCTACCTTATCTCTCTGGAGGATTGCTGGGAGCTGCAGTCCAGGAATAGGATATTGGAACTACGCAGGGATTGGGATGCTCTCAAAGAAATCCAAAGAGAAGAAAGTTTGCAGCTTGGAAGCTGTGCATTTGGAGCATCCTCCTCTCCTAAAGGGCCTGGTCTAGGGGATGCTGGGAGCTGTAGTCCAGAAGAGAGTGTGGATATGCTATTGTGTGATTGGTATGCTGAGGGAGTCGTTTTTGCACATGTGCTGCAGTGTCTTTTTGCTTTTTTTGGCTTTTTAAGTCTCTTCTGCTGTGTTTAAAAATATTTTTTAGAAATATTACTTTTATTAAATTTATTTTAACTCTATTTTTCAACTTTTATTTTAAACTAGCTGTCCCCTGCCATGTGTTGCTGAGGCCCTGTCTGCGTATGTGTTTTTTGTGTGTATATATGTGTATGTGTGTGTGTGTGTGTGTGTGTGTGTGTGTATATATATATATATATATATATTTGTGTATATGTCTATATAAGTGTGTTTGTGTATATATGTGGTTTTGTGCATACATTGTAATGTAATTTTTGTTTTTTGGCTTCTTAAGTCTCTTCTGCTGTGTTTTTTCAGTGTTTTATGAGTGATGGTCACTCATTGGCCTGAGAGGTGTCTTGTGTCCAAATTTAGTGTCAATTCCTCCAGTGGTTTTTGAGTTATGTTAATCCCACAAATGAACATTACATTTTTATTTATATAGATTATATAATAATAAAAGGTAAAGGTTTTCCCCTGACATTAAGTCCAGTTGTGTCCAACTCTGGTGTTCATCTCCATTTTAAGCCGATGAGCCGGCGTTGTCCGTAGACGCCTCCAAGGTAATGTGGACATGGGCATGAGTGCATGGAGCGCTGCCACCTTCCCGCCGGAGAGGTCCCTATTGATCTACTCACATTTGCATGTTTTCAAATGGCTAAATTGGCAGAAGCTGGGGCTAACAGTGGGAGCTTACGCCGCTCCTTGGATTCAAAATGCCAACTTTTCAGTCAGCAAGTTGAGCTGCTCAGCAGTTTAATCTGCTGAACCACCAGAGGGCCTATGTATGTATATATGTATGTGTGTGTGTATCTATCTATCTATATATAATATTATTACATCTTATCTATATAAATAAAAAAGTAATATTCGTTTGTGGGATGAATTGACACCAAATTTGGACACAAGACACCTCTCAGGCCAATGCGTGACCATCACTCAAACACCAAAAAACACAGTGAAAGGGACTTAAAAAGCAAAAAAAAA